CCTCCCAGTTTCAGAGGGATGGACTATATTACAGCCAGGCTCCTGCTGAGGAAATTTAAATAAACTAGAGAGGGTGACTGTCTGGATGTCCATTACTGGAAAGAGGGTTGGGACTCCCAGGTTCCTCATGAAACTAACAGTAGTAGCTCTCTATAATTTCTTGGTTTTTTTGAGACAGGATTTCTCTATGTAGCCCTGCTGTCCTAGGTTCACTGGACCAGACTGGCCTCTGCCTCCCTGAGTGCTGGGATTACAGGCTTGTGCCACTGCACCCAGCTTATGCCCCTGTGTATGATTTCTCAGATGAATCGTGTACAGAGCAAAGGGCTTAAGGTCTGATTCCCTAGGATACAATAACCTTAAGAACAGGCAGTGTTGTTACTATTATTATTATTATTATTTTTACCAAGAGAGGAAACTGAGGCCCACTAAGAAATCAATTCAACTCAGATGTGCTGGTCTCAGGACCTGAGTTTATGACCACTGAGCATACCAGTCACCTCGGAGAAGGAAGCAGGGAGTTTACCTCCCAGGCCTGGTGCCAATGGCTGCCTGCCTTAGAACTGAATTGAGGCTCACACCTAGAATGGTGATGGCTGCCATCAGGCCTCCCCTGCCGAGACAGCACAAAGGGCCCCTTTGAAGGGTGAGTCCAGAGACACCCCTCCTGGCCTGCTCTTGATCCAAGCATGCAGGGGGCCTGTGGGCACTTCTGGCTCTGCTGTAGAGCCAGAACTAGGCAGAATGGTTTGGCATTCCTTCCTTAAACACATCACACTTGGTAGAGGCTTGTGGTTTGTAGACTGATGTGGTACTGAAGCATGAAGCAGGTCTCCCAGCACCACCAGGGACTCTTGACCCCCCTGGGCCTCCTTTCCTGAACAGTCAAGCTTTACAAATGCATTGACTTCCCTCTCCCCATCCCTGATTTTGCACTTTGGATGAACCCTTGTTTTCAAAGAAGGTGGAAGGACATTTTCCTGTGCTTACCAGCTGGCCTGTAATAATAGATTCAATAGCACCCACTGTAAAGTCTAATCGAAGTAAACAGGAAAATACGATTTACAAGCTGGATGAGAAGTAAATACCAGGGTGCAATTATTTTTTACACAGCAGCTTCTAAAACATTTTCCTGAGCTGAAGTTTGTTTTTAATCACAGATTAGGAACTGCCTTTCTATCTCTTTATTGCCATTATGACCATTATGTTTTAGGTTTTGATGGTGACCTTCAGATCCTCATACCCGTGTAGCTTTCTTTGAAGGTTTAACCACAGAATGTTTGGGATGGGGAACTAGGATCAGAGCAAGCCTGTGCAATTTCTACCTTTGCTGCTGGGACATAATGGACAGGGAGGCAACATGGCTTTACAGAAGGCAGTACCTAGGTGTCCTGGGCACTAGCTCATAGGTCACTTGGTTTTGTACTCTGGGGGAAGGGGCACAGCTACAAAGGCCACTAGTGTTGTGAACATGTGGAAAGGAGGCACTGCCAGGGATGGGGCATGTGTCTTTAAATAGAGCCTCCTGATTGGTCAATAGCATCTGTTCGTAACTAGACAGGTAAGGTAAGCCGGTGCCCAGCTCTGGCTCCCCTGCCTCCTCTGATTTTGGATGTGGGGATGAGGAGTATTGATCCTTAGCTGGTCTAAACATGTCCTAATGTGAGCTCATGGTGCCTGCAAAGCCAGCCCAGTCAGTGGTAAGTTGCTGCATCACTGGGAACCACATATTGCTAGCACCTTAGAACCTGTGGTCTTGAAGATGTCTTGTGGCTCGATCCAAATCTGTTCCTCTGTCTAGCAGAGCATTGGCTTTTGGACATCCTAAGGCTAGCTGGTTTGTGTGTATGTGTGTGCATGCACCTGTATGATGTGTGTGTGTGTGTGTGTGTGTGTGTGTGTGTGTTTATATGTTTGTGTGGGTGATCCAAGAAAGTGAGTCTGGGCCTTGCTAACCTCCCAGAGTGTATTTTTTTTCTAGTAAGGATATGGTTTCTTTCCCACTGGGTCCTCTGCATTACTGGGGCTGAGCTACACTGTTTGCATCCCAGGCTTTCCTAGTCCCCAACCTTTGTCGGTCTTCTGTCTTTCCAGGTTGTTGTCTCCTTTTGGCTGTTCCCAGAGGGCCTTGTCCTCAGACTAAGCAACTGATGGGGAGCTGTTTCTGATGACATCACTTCTTGGGACGCCCAGGTATCACTATTAATCAAAACTGCCCACCTGAAGATGGCCTGTGCCCACCCTGGGATGCGGCCCAGTGCCTGAGGTCCTTACCATGGTGATGATCCTAAGGAGAAGCCTCATCAGCCAGGGAGCTGACTCCATAGCACGCAGGACCTTCATCCCTCAACTGGTGAGGACATCAAGGGCTGTACTTCTTTCTCCTTCTTTGTGACCTGGTGGGCAGGGAGGGTTTGTGTTGTGGCTGCAGATGGGCATCCACACTTAACAACGTGGAAGTAAGCAGAGCTCTGTGAGGTGTTCTGGGCTGGGGCCGTGTGGCAGAGCAGAGTGTAGCTGTGTACTCGGGGAGGAAGCACCAGGGCCCAGGTTAGAGCTTCTGTGATGAAGGAGGCAGGTCATGCCAGGAGAGGTTCAGCTGAGCCCAGCATTCCTACCATCCCCACCTGAAGAGGGAGGTGGCTTTCAGGATGAGATGCCAGGGTGGGGGTTAAGATGCGGCTGTCCCTCAAAGGGCAGTGCAGGGTGAGAGCTACCACCTGAGGGTCAGAGTGGTAGGTGAGGGAGAAAGAAAGCACAGTCTGACAGTAAGGTGGCAGGCTGTGGTGTTAGCCACTGTGGCTGCCTTCTGACTCAGTGGGTGGTAGGCTTCTGTCTTGCCGCCCACCCTCCTAGAGTCAACCAATTCTTTGCCCTCTGACCAGACAGGGCTTCACACTCAACCCTTTGGTGGCCTTCCTTTCCTTTGTCTCATGCTGGCAAATACCACATTGTGACAGAGGAAACCCCTCCCCCCAAGGAGTGTGGGGAGATACCTGCCTGTATTCCATATGTTCTGTAAGCCCACACAAGTGCCTGTCCTGTAGACTGGTATAGGGAACAGAGTTAAGGAACCAGCATAACTTGGATCTAGCTGAGCCTTGTCCTTTTTTTTTTCTAGAGAAGTTCTCAGTCTAGAGGGAGGTTCTGCAAAGCTGATGTATAGAATGACCCCGGTAAGAGCTGGGAATGCAATTTTTTTTAACACTGGTTTCTCTTATTTATATATTTATCATTCATTCATTCATTCATTCATTCATTCATTCATTCATTCATTCATTCATTCATTTTTATGTATGTTTGATGTTTGTGTGAGGGAGTTAGATCCACTAGAATTTGAGTTAGCCCAGCAGTTAAGAGCACTGACTGTTCTTCCAAAGTTCTTCCTGAGTTCAATTCCCAGCAACCATATGGTAGCTCATAATCATCCATCTATAAGAAGCTCTAGTACCCTCTTCTGGCATGCAGGTGTACATGTGGGCAGAACACTGTATACAAAATAAATTAATGAATCTTTAAAAAAAAAAAAAAAGAGCCGTGTTTATGCCAACTGATGATGGCTGGTGCCCTGTTGAGGTCCAGGTGCGCTGAGAAGGCTGGCTGGTCTGTAAGCACATCAGAGCCTTGCAGAACTGAGGTGCTGGGTGTGGCCTCGAAGGCCAAATAGAAGTGGCTTAGAAACCACTGGGCCCAGCCTTATTTTCCAAACGTATAGTTGAGAACTGAGATCTGCAGCAGGCCAAAACTGCCTCAGCGGCTTGCCCACTTCTTCACCTCATTTCCATCCGGCAGCCTACTTCTTGGCCTGTGTTTAGGCCTCCTCTCTTAGGCTGGTATTGGAGCATCTGTCTCTGAGGCTGTTCTCTGTGCCCCAGCACAGGGCAGAGATGAGTAGCTTAGGTTCATCTGGTTCATGGACACCTGGGTCAGTCATTATAGTAGAAGTGGAGCGACTTTAGCCATTGCACCCCTCTTCCAGCTTGCACGTAATGGATACCTGCAGTTTGATCCTTTTCACCATTACCCCCACCCTCACCCATCAGCCACTCTCATCCTTCCGCTGGCCTCTCAGATAGATTCTTGTGGTAATTGGGCCTCTGCTTCTGGCTCTTAAAAACCTGTTCTCCCCTCAGCAGCCTTCAGAGTACCACTCAAGTCCATCTGCTCAGACCCTTCCACTGGCTGCCTGCCTTACGAGTTCTGTAACTTTCTGCTTATTCCACTCAGCTAGTACTGGCCCCTGGCATAGAGATGCCAACCTCAGGACCTTTGGATTTTCTCCATAGTCTAGAACTCTTCCCTTAACACAACCCTTTCCTCTTTCCTTCTGTGGCCACTCAGCCCAAAATTCAGTCCTGCCTGCCCCCATACTTACTTTCTGTCCTTTTTCCACCCATGGTTTCCCTCTTAAACGGGTTATCTGAGGGTCTTGTGCATTGAGTGATTGCTCTTGCTAGGGTGGACACTTAGTGAAAGGCAGGCCTTTGCCTTTCTCTCTTGGACCCAGGGTCTGTTGCATAATAGCTACTCAGAGTGAGTGAGTGAGCGCACAGGTCGCCCTTGCCATGGCTTCTGACCTTGTTGTTTTGGTCCCTCTGTTTAATGTGTAGCTGAGGGATCATACATATACGTCATACTTGTCTTGTATTAACTGTCTTTGGGGGAAGGATCTGTAGACTGTGCTTAGAGTGGCCTTGGGCTGAGGGGCTGCCCGGAAGTCCCCAGGGTTGTGCTCCCCAGGGTTCGGCTGTATTGTTGGCCTCCACAGCTGCCTCTGTGCTTGTCTAGTGTCAAGGTAGCACTGGGCTGGGGCTGGCCACAGAGCTAGTTCCCAGTACCAGGGCCCAAGGTCACGGCAGTGGCCCTTCCTGAGCCCTAGCATGAGGATCACGGCCTTGTGCCTTCCGTAGGGGAGGAGCCTTGTCTTCCTAGAACAGAAGGCGGGGCATACTCATCCCTCCCTCAGGGCTCACTGCCTGCACTCTGTCTCTGAGGCCCAGGCTACACCTTCCAACCTCTGTTCCTCCTCCAGGGAGTAGTCTTCTTGCCTCTGCTCTTTGCTGTTGGCCCATCTAGGCCCAGAACCATCTGTCTCCTTCTCCCCTCTGCTCCAGATGGCAGGTCAGTGATGGGCGTCCTCTTCAGAGAGAGCTTTTCTTGTCTGAGTTTGTTGACAGTTTACATTCTGACTGTTGGCTATATTCTGGGCCTGGTTCAACATAAGAGGAAGTACAGTGTGGCTACAGAAGGTATGGAGAGTACCATGGAAGGTGCTCAGGCAAGGGCAAGGGTGTATCCATCTCTGTCCCTTAGATAGACAGGCAGTATGGCTCAGAGAACTCAGTATGGATGTGCATGGTCTGGCCAGCACCTTTCTACAGTGGCTGAGCCTCCAAAGGCCACCCCTGGCTACCTCAGGGAGAGTTCTGTAGGTGTCTGAAGAGAGAGCCATATAATGTCAGTCTAGTGATATGATCCCCCTGAGACAGGTCAACCGGTCCTCACTGTGAGCAGCAGAGGAGGTTGCTGGGGTCCTGGTTCACAGTCAGCACACAATTGCCATCAGTTAACTCAGAAAAGGTGGGAAACAGTTTCTCTTTTGTTTTCTAATAGACTAAAAAAGATAATAGAAGTGGAGATAAGATTTTAAAAGTAAACAGTGTTCTAGGGTTGCTGGAAACCTTTGGGATGGCAGGAGCAGCTTTTGGGGGTGTGGTAGGAGCAGGCTTTGTGGGGTGTGGTTATATGGTCCTGAGCTCCTCTTAGTCACAATAGGGAAGGTCTAAGACACCCTAGGTGGAAGGTTCCCTAGACCCTGGGATCTTGGAGCACCCCTAGCCGCTGTTCTGAGTCTTGGTGAGGAACAAGAAAACCTGTGGTGGTCTCTGCCCTTCCACAGTCATCACTGTTTCATTCTCCTTTTTGTAAGGACTGGTGCTGTACACCTGTGATTTCCGTACCTGGAAGGCGGAGGCAGGAGGGTCAGAAGTTCAAGGCTAGCTTTGGCTACATAGCTAGTTAGAAGTCATCCTGGTCAATATGAGACCCTGTCTCAAAACAAAACAGCAAAACCCTAGTTCTGGTGACAAAGGTGACCGTCCCTACTCCCAAAAAAACTTCAGGAAAAAGAACGAAAACTGGCAAGTGCTTAGCCTGTTCTCACTTCTCTGAGCCTACTTTTGAGCCTGAGCCCACTTCTCTGGGAATGATGGGTACAGGCACAGGTCATGTTCACAAGCCTGGCTTGACTTGCATACTAGGTAGCCATGACCATGTCTGCCCCTCTTTCCCTTGTCTGACTGATTACTTTCCTCTGCCCAGAGGGCTTTTCCTTCTCATGTTCTAACATTAGCCACCGTCACTGGAACGCAGCCCAGATGTTTGACCCTGGAGCACTGAACTCCCCCAGATCCTGCCCATTTGCCTACATGCAGGCCAAGAGCCTGTTCTTGTTTCCAGAGTAACCACCTCCTTTGGCCAGGCCAACTTTCTCTCCCAGCCTACTCTAAATCCTGGAGACCAGAGGAATCAGGCAAGTGGCTTCTCTGGACAGAAGAAGCTATAGACTGCTTGCTTGTCCCCAAACCATGCACAGTCAATAGTAGAAGAGGCACTGTCAGAGTGGCACTAGGCATTTGCCTAGTCTGAAATTGGTGGCCACATGAGGCATTGTGTCCAGCTCTGTAGGTACAGGGGATCCTCATATTCCTTGTTAAGCCAGCCGGCTCTTTGGCCTCAGCAGCTCCAACCAGGGTCTCTACTTTAAGTCTGGTGTCTTTCACATAGGTGCCCCAGGGACTCCTGTGCCTGGGGACCCTCTCAAGCTTTGAATTTAGGGCTACTTTGGCATCTTTGAGCACCTTCCTCCCTCCTCCCCATTGCACTGTTCCCTTCTCAGCTTCTCTTCATCTTCTCCTCTCTGCTTCCTGCTATCTGGGTCTTACTGAGCTCTGTTTGAGAGGCAGGCGTAATACAATGCTTATTCTCTGTTTGTGGTATGAGCATCTCCCCTTCCCACTGTGGCTCCCTCTGCACTGTGTCAGCAAAAGCAAAAAGTGGCTCTGTTTTAGGCAGCAACCTTTGAAGAAAGCTGTGAAAGGCGTGGGTAAGGTCTGCCGTTTTTTCCGTGTTTCTTAGCTTCGCCTTCGGAGCCTTAATTGGGTCTTTATTGAAGTTGGGGCCTTTTCTTTAGTTAGACAGATGTCCCTGAAGCCTCAATTTGATTTCCAGCTTTTGTCTTTCCTACCAAGACCTGATTCCAAAGACTCCTCTCATGACGTGAATCGTCTCACTGAGACGGAGCCCTGGTGAGTTCAGACACAAAGAGGGAGGCGTGCAAGGAGGAAACATGCTCTTGCTTCCTTCCCTGCAGATCTCAGCCTGCAGCTGAGCTCACTCTTGCAGATTCCGGAAGTCTTGGGAGGCCTCACAGCCAGAGTCCCTTTGGGGCTGCTGGACCGTGGCTTGGCACACTGATTTGCTTATCCCTTTTTCCCACCCTGGGAATAGAGGATTTGAAGAGTTAGAGGCCTGGCTACAGGAATGGCATGTGCCAATGGGAATTTTATTGTACTCCTGGTAGACTGGGAACAGGAAGGCTTGTGTCAGCTTGGAGCCAGTAATTCCTGGATGCCGTTTTGCCCACGTGAAATCCCCAGGCAAACCTGCCAAGGTTCGGGCGTGCTGGCTCCTTAACCTGGGAGTCGTTGAGAATGGGATGTTCAGTACTGTTTCAGTTCGTAAGCAGGGTTCAGAAAGCAAGGCAGGACCCTGGTCCTAGCTCAGGATCCAACATAAAGACAGTCAAAGTTCCTCTTTTTTTAAAAAATTTATGTGTATTTATATTTATGTTAAATTTATATTTTGCCAGCGTGTCTGCATGTGCACCATGTATATACCTGGTGTCCATTGGGTCCCAAAGATAGTGTTAGATGCCTTGGGACTAGAGTTACAGATGGTTGTAAGCCAATTAGATGCTGGCATTGAACCCTAGTCCTATGGAAGAGTAGCCAGTGCTCTCTACTGCTGAGCTGTCTCTAGCTGCAGGGTTCTTTGTTTGAGAGAGGCATCTCCAGTCAACTCAAACAAAATGAATACTTCTGTAATAAAGGTGGAAAACTCACAGGCTGCAGAAGAGTATGTGGATCAGACCCAGAAGGGCAGGCCCAGGGTGAGACAGGAGTTTACAAACAGGCGCTTGGGGCCGACTCAGGCCTTCCTTGGCCCTGCACTCACAGCTCAGTGGAATGAAGAGACCTTGAGCTCTCCCCTGCTGACAAGGCACAGGTGGCTGCACTCTGCTTCCTGCTTCTGCATTTGAAACCCCAAGCCCTCCTTTGTGACACTTTTGTGCCAGTAGTGCACATTCACATGGCAGCCTTCCTGTTCTCTCAGCTTTCTGTGGTCCCTGTCTTGGTGCAGCTTCGTTGGGCTCCTAACCCATCTGTTTGACACTGGGCGTGGGTGCCCTGGGTAGAGCTGACAAGGAACCACTCTAGTGGATGTTGTCCTTGAGCCTGGCCGCCCCCTCAGCACCGAGACCTTGTTTTCCTTAGCAGGTGAGGCACCCAATCCCCGTTCCTTCTCAGAACACTTTTCCGGGAGTGTAAGGGGCCTGCCTGGGTTCTATAGGCTTCTGCACTTGGTTGTGTGGGTTGTGCAGCCCTGATGGCAGGCTGTCCTATGTTTGTCACCTGTTCTCTATTGGGTGACTTCGGTGTGGCTTTCAGCTCCACATCCTGCAATACTAGCCATGTTAGCTGAGGTGGAGGCAGGTACAGCTCTTTTTCAGTATCCTTCTAGATACTTCAGTGGGTGGCTACACGGGAGGGGCTCCTGGCTGGTTAATGTTAATTCAAGAAGGGGCCTGGAAAAGGGCTATCATCAGGAACCTTGTCTATCAACACTAGCCCAGGTGTTCCTCTGGAAACTGGCTCTGACCTCTACCCACCACGGCACACGCAGTCTGCACCCCCACCCCCAAGTCCCATCTCTGTAATGAAATGAGTTGTCTGTGTGACTGTCCTGTTGGAGGTTTGAGCCCTTCTTTGTCCTCAGTCTGGGAAGGACAGTCCTGCCCTTTAAACCCTCGTGGGATAAATGCATTGCTGACCAAGAGCAAAGGTCCCCAAATTGGGCACTGGGATAGGGTGAGGAAGCTGGTGCCAGGCGCCTGCTACCTTATCTGGGTGGGCCAGGTGTTGCTAGCCGGCCCCACCCTTCTCCTGGGACTTTATGAGCCAGAACCCAGGCTCCCACCCACTTCTCACCGTAGAAGCCCTGCCTCCTTTGTCATGTGGTAGGGCCCTGGAGCTCCTCTCAGAAGCTGGAACCCTGCGTAACAGGCTGAGCACTCCATTTCCCATTGCATGACCAACCCCGAGCACAGCCTGAATACAGAGAACTGTCAGTTCCTGTGCACTGAGTGTACTGTAACTGAATGTGAGCGAGTGAGGTAGCCAGTCTCTGGATTGCTTGAGGCAGACTGTCTTCTCAGGGTCCTCACTGGGATGTCTGCTCCTTACTCGCTTCTGAGTAGGCCACTTGACTTGGATGCAAGGTAGCACAAGAGCCCCCAGAATATTCTGTGCTCAACTTGCTGTGCATCCTTCCTTCTTTTTCATCTGTGTTCAGCTGAGGCGGGTATGGATTGTGAGAGAAGACGGAAAGTGTTCACAGTGGAGTAGGAAGCCCAATGGATGTACAGTGCCCAGGAAATGAAAGCTATAGCTCTTGGGCTGAGATCCAACGGAACCAGGGAGTGTCTTGTGCTTCAGGGAGAATGACTGGCTGCTCCACTATGACAATAAGCCGCTGTGACACATCAGCCTCAGCCGGCATTCCCTCCTGGGTAGTAGAGGAGATGCTGTCTCAGTATCCTATGGGGAACCGTCAGGGAGGGCGAGAGTGCCCATTGCTCCTCACTCCTAGGAGGCCCACCCCTCCAAGTTTATTTCTAGCCCCTAGGAAAGTTTGGTTCATCAAACCTCTCCCATATCCCTGTGTGGAGAGATTTCTTCTGGTCAGGAGTCAGCCTCAAGCATTTTATATGGCTTAAAAGCCCATTAGCCAGCTTGGTCTGTAACTCCAGAGCCTTGGGGCAAAGTCCAGGCTCAGTCCTTTGCAGATGTTGACTCTTGGGCTACTAACTCTTTCCTCAACCTAATGTCGCCTTCAGGGCAAATCCCACCTGTTAATTGTGACTTTAGAAAGGTCTCAGTGCAGAGTCGTGCTCAAACGTGCTCCTGATGATGTGAAGAGTGAATAGCTTTTCTGGTTGTTTTCAGCACACGCCAAAGAAGATGAGTCAAGGACCTACCCTCCTCTCCTGTGGAATTATGGGTGAGTAGCTACACATTATGGGCATCTTCTTCTAGTCTTTCCAGCCAGGTGAGACTCCAGTGGAGTGATGGAGAGACTCTCTTCTGTGTTTTAACTATTTCAGTTCCCAGCAGGACTGGAGTAGACCAACAGTTTGCTGGGTGTGAAAGTGAGGGGCACTGGTGTGTGGTTTATAGTCATTTCCAACTCCAGCATTGAGTTCTAGCTGATTATTAAGTAATTCATGGTGACTTGTTTTCATTCAGAGAAATATTCATAGAAGTAAAAATCCCTTAAATTGTGGTTTTCAGTGATAGCTTTTGTTGATATTTGTGTGTGTGTTGCATTTTTCACATAACCAGGTCCATCAAGAACATATAATTATATAAACCTTGTCTGTTTTTACACTCAGTAATATGGAAATAACTCAAGTTTTGCATCTTAATGCTGTATAGTACTGCATTGGGTGGATGAATTAAAATGTCCTAGGTAATGTGATTCTTACAGTCATGGGGTAAAGGGGCTGCTGAATTTCCAGCTGCAATCAATGCACAGGGGTTTTTGAGTTTTTGTCTTCTGTGTTATTTCTTAGGGTAGTCCCAGAAAGGAACTGAAGAGATCTTAGGTTGGGGACCTTTTAAAGCTCTTGGTTTATATGGCAAATGTTCCGTCCAATATGTGCTTGGTCTCGTTTTTTTCTGTGCACACGTGATGCTGTTTCTTGTAATGGGAAGAAAGAATGGTTGCATTGGTTACAGGCATTTTTTGATGCTCTGTAGATGGATGCTATGGAGTCTAGGTTGACTCAGAAACCAGACCTCAGTGATAGTAGGTCGCAGACTCAGTGACTTACGGGGCCATATGAGGTTGTCCTCACCCTCCTTTCTCTGTGTCCAGTGGTTTCGTTTTCTAATTTCAAGGCCCTTTCCATAGATGAGACGGTGAGTGCACAAGGGCCTGGGTCCATCATGGCGAGCACTGCCACAAACATTGTTTACAGCTTTAGAGCCAGGCAAGTGCTTGTCCATACTTGGGGAAACTGAAGCCCAGTGACTCTCTGAAACATCTCTTAGGAAATAGAATTATAACAGGTAGCAGAGAAGGACAGTTTTTTTTTTTTTCTCTTTCTTTCTTTCTTTTCGGTACATGCTATAGCACGGGGAAAGCTAAAAGTATTTTTTGATGCAGCTACCCACAGGACATGAAAACAGAGGAGTCACCTGGCTGACACATTTCTATGGCCTATCCTCATATGACCTTATACTTCTTTGGTGGTTAATGGCTTTTCTCCTCCACCATTACCACCAGTATTGTCCCATGGTTAGAAGCCTGCTGTGCTTTTGCACCCTGGAACAGGTTCACAATTTAGCTGCTATGCTTTGTCATAGGGGGTGGGTGTCATGAATGTCCAACCTTCACCCCAGACATAGCTCCAACAGAGCCAGACCAGGAACCTGTGTCATGGGGATGGTAGGCCTCCATTTTAAGACTGTTGTGTTAGGCTTCCCTGACGTTCCTCTGTGAATCTGTATAATAAAGCTAACTCGAATGAGTCTGGTGTGTGACAAGCCTTGTGAGAGCTGAAACTTTTAACTTTTTTGAGCCTCAGTTTCCTCATATGCAGCAAAGCAGTTGTGGGCTTGTAAGGACTGTAATGTAATGTTGTGACAAGATTGTCACAGGAGAGCACACCACAGAAATAGTTGCAAAGAGGACTGAGACCTTAGTCAAAGATAATTGTTCCTCTAAAGAGGCCTTGTGTCTCAAAGGAGGGACCACATCAGTTTCCTTTGGGGGTGGGTATAAGTGACAGAGCTGTCCATGGGGCCAGAGTAGAGGCCTGAGGAAGAAGGCAAGTGAAGAGCAGCTCAGGTTATTCAGGGCCATCTGGCTGCTTGAGCTTCTGGGGCTCAGCAGCCTGCTCTCTATCCAGGGTGGCACAGGGCTTGGAGGAAGTGCCAAACTGTGTTTCCAGGTTGACTCTTCAGGGTGCCCTGTCCCACTGGCTCTAGCTTCTGCAGGACAGTGCTAACGCCCTGCCACTGAACTATAGGAGAGGCAGGGGTAGCTGCTTAGGGGCTGTAATGACAGCATGCCTACTCACTCTGCTTCTCCAGCCGCTTGCCCCTTATCTGCCTACTGCTCAGCTTTCCGTGATTCAGGAGAACCATGTCCCACGGGACAGCATGTCTTACCAGGGCTTTCACTCACCACACAGAGTTGCAGGGATTTGTTCTCATAGATTTTCATCGAGCAGTTAGCATGTAGTAGGCACTTAGTGTAGGGCGGAATGAAAGAGACCCTGTTTTACCCGCACAGTACATTGTGTCCAGTGGAGGAGGAAGAGCCATAGACAGCAAATTTCATGTGCCAAGACTGGGGCGGGCCAGAAGAGCCACGGAGCAGTAGACTCCGTTTTCCCATTCCCTGATCTCTTCCTCTGGCAAAGTATAGCTGCTGTGGGTGGGAGAGGCTCCCACCCTCTGTCCCATCCTAACAGCTGCTGACCCAGGGGTCTCAGCAGTCAGAAGCCTCCCTCCTTGCCTGTTGGAGCAGGGAGCTCCCATCAGCCCTTCAGCCCAGTGACTCCGTAAATGGAGAAGTTTGTGGTGTCGTCTTGTGCGGTCACTACAACCCACTGGGAGTTGCACCCTAGGCAGAGAGATTTCATCTTGGGTGTGCCGACTTTCCAATAGCAGGGAAGAAAACACCCCGAGGGGCTAGCCAGACTTTTCAAGAGGGTTTTTGGCCCTTGCAGGGCTGGACAATGCTGAGCAAAGATAAAATGTCAACGATCGTAATCACCGCCCCAGCCCTGGCTCCTGAAGACAAAGGCTGTGACTCAGGGTCCTCCCTGCCAACTCCATGCCCAGGGTCCTAGCTGGCAGCCCATGTTGGGGGTTTCCTAGGTGCTCTGAAGAAAGGCCTGGCAAGCGCACCAGCACTCAGAGAGCAGCACTGGGTTGCTGCTTCTTCACAGAATGCCATCCTTCCAGGTGGCTGAGTTACCTGGGGGCCACTTATAGTGCAGCAGAGGAGAATCAAGCGCCCTGAACAACGTATGTTTGTTTCATTTCTTAAAGTGCCTCATTCTTGTGATTGTGGACTGGATACCAGACCACTTGACCTTTGGGCCCCACCCCGGTTTGAGAATATGATGCAAAGAATTTTTATACTTTTCTAAAGTGGGGGAGAGAACAAATCTTGGTTTGGTGTGGATGGAGACACAGGACAAAATGAGAGTCCCATCCTGTCCACCTGCTTTGTATCCCATTCCTTCTTAGGGTGTCAGGCCAGCTCCTTGTAGCAGTCAGCTGGGTTCGGGTTCTTTTCTCACCTCCAGATCTTTCCCACCCACCTCTGTGCTGAGGCAGAATTTCCCGTGCAGGCGGCTCTCTCAGGGAGAGGCGTTTACTCATGACATGAGTTGAGTGGCAGCTCTCAGCCTGCCATCTGGGCTGGGAGTAGTGCTGTTCCTTACACCTATTTTTGGTGTGTTCAGGAAGTGTGGGAGGGGTGTCCTCCTGGGTTCAGTGAATCTGGGGCTGCAGGTGAAATTCAGCCTGAGCCTGGGACCCTCTCGGAGATGCTTCTTCCCGCTTGCTTGGGGTCACGTGTGCCAGCTTCTTTTCTTTCTTTTTCTTTTTGATAAAATGGGGCAAGTGGGGTAAGCACAGCCCCATTCATTACCTTTGGCTAATTACAGCCATTCAGTGAGCCTATTTCATCATGACGGTAGATAGCACACATTCCATCTTTCTCACCACGCAGGCCAGGAGATTAGAAATCACATAAAATGTGAGAAAGCAAGGGCAGCACCAATTATTCCCAAAAGGCCACTAGGAAAAATCTTGTAAATACAAGTCAGTGGATAGAGAACAAAACAATTCATATGCTTTAAAAACAAAACAAAACAACAACAACAAAAAAGGACGAAAACCCATAATTACTTCAGGAGTTATGGTAATAAATTATTTATTAATGTAAATTATTTCACAGGCAAGGAACATAGAGGAAACTTGAGCAGAAGGATCATACATTATGTATAAAAAGGAATTGTAAAAACATTATAGCGGCCTGACTTGTGCGGCTCTGGTTCAGGTTTGTCAGCATTTTAATTATAAGCCCTCACTTTCAGTGTTTAATTACTCGGCTGTTAACGTCTACTCTGTACATAAAAGGGTTGTTCCCGGGGGCACTCTCTGATTGGAGTTCTTTGGGAAACCAGTTGGCTGTGTTGAGCTGCATAGGGCTAAGAGATTTCATGTTGAGATTCAGCAGGCTTTGGTCTCTCAGCCTCAGTTGATCACTGAACGTGGCCCATGATTATACCAGTGTGGAGAAGCTGGCATTTGAGGCTGAACAGTTTCCATTGCAGTCAAATGTCCAAAACAAAACAAAAAAACGCCAAAAGCAATACCAAAACTCCTCAGTCCAGGTTTTTGTACCGTTTTCATTGTGGTCCTTGAGCCAGGGCCTCCTAGAAGAAATTGCTTACGGACTAATATGGGCTAGCATATGATTTGTTTCCAGTGAAAAAAGTACATCCGCATACAAGTATGTGTGTCTGCTTAAAAAAAAAATAACTCTTTGCATTTTAAATTTATCTTTGTTGTGGTTACATATGTATGTGATTTTTAAATCCATACAAAATGCTTTCAGTTCTCCCATGTACCTTTTATTGGTTCCAGACAGTGTGTGGGGAATAAAGTGCAGAATGGAAGTAGACGGGATGGAGTTGGCCTGTGAGAGCTGTTTGTAGTGCTGAGTGAACCTCCTGGGGCTGCCTTCTAGCAAAGGTGAGGGAGGGGGTCACAGTGGTGCCATAGGCCAGGGAATGGCTGCTGCACTATCTGTGAGTGCTGGCCTCTCAGTGGAGAAGGATGGGTAGTGGGCAAGGCAGGAACAGCCTTTCCCAGGCGAAAGAGTATGGCTGTGGAACTGCAGAGCATGCTTAGTTAGGTCTGGGCTCTGCTATTTGCCAACTGGGCGTGTCTCGAAGGCGAATGGCGGTATTCTGA